TCGGTGCCTGGGAAGGCTCGAGTAGAACTTTAATGTTCATACGGATGGACAATATCGAAACGGAGGGAATTTCGATTGCTTCAACGAAAATTATTGTTTATATAGAGTGCTTGGAAAATTTTTGTATGTAAAATCTTGTATGTATAGAAAATTTGTTTCCTCTGGAAAGCACCTGGAGAAGGTTTCAAGAATGTGTTGACAATGACGGTGAACAAGTGGAGACAAAATACATTTCTTAAAGTAACTTTAAAAAAGTTACTTTCATATTAAGTGTTAACTTCTTTTTTAAGCACCCTGTATTTAAATATTATTTATATAATGACGCTTAACGACACTAGAAGTAACAAAAAAAAAAACAAAGTTGAAATTCGAATTCTACTGGTATTCGAAACGTACGAAATATTCGACAGAATTCAAGCAATTCCAATATTCAAATTATCCGAATGAAGAATTCGAAATTAACCAAATTATTCGAATTATCCGAATAAAGAATTCGTATTCGAAAATTATCGAAATTATTCGATTGAAAAATTCGTATTCGAAATTATCCAAATTACCCGAACAAAAAGTTCGTATTCGAAATTATTCGAATTATCCCCTTAAAGAAGTCGCATGAAAAATTATTCAAATTATCCGAATAAAGAATTCCTACTCAAAATCATCCGAATTACCTGAAAAATTATTCGAATTATCCCCTTGAAGAATTCCTATTCCAAACGATTCCAAGTTTCACAGCCACAGCACCAACCATTGAGAAACTACCACGAACGCGTAACATTGACTTCACGAAGCACAAGATGCATCTAATCTGAGAAACTCGAACGCGAAGTGAAAGCAGTGAGATTGCAGCGATTCCCAACGAAGCGCTCTTAATTAACTAAGAACGTTATTCGGCAGTCGTGTCGATTATTGAAAGCATGCTCGACATGGTGGCGAAGTCAAGGTCCCGGAGATCTCGTATCGGCAGGATGTGAAATTAACACCAACAGACTAATTTCTCTCGAGCTGTTCTTAATTAATCCAAGATGCTTATCTGCATCGCGGTTTTCCCCGGCTCGGCTCCCGTTCCCTCCCCCCACCAATCTACCGCCGGTATGCGTATGAAATCGTTTTCAAGAGAAATGGAAAAAAAATAATCCCGTTACAAGCTGGAGAATAAAAATCGCTGAATTACCTCGCGCGGAGAAAGAGCAACAAGAGAGCGGATAATATCCTGCTGCGACCTAATTACACTTCACCGTGAACTATCGACGGAATAGACGTGTATGGTTGATTATATTAGTTGAAAAAGGAGATTGCTTTAGGAAATTGAATGTACTATGTGGGCGATTACGCTTCGGATAGCTTTCATTAACGTTGAGAAGAAAAAAGGAAATTTGCACGACAGCGTGAAATGTTTAATTAAAGTAGTTCGTTACGGTCTGATCAGTCAATTCTTGTTTCCCTTGAAACGTGAAGATTGATTCTTCCTGATTAAATTATCTCGTTGTTAAGGATACTTAAGTTAGACCAGGTTTACGATACGGACGCGACTCTCTGCTATTTTTCAGATTAAGGTTTGAATACGCGTTTAATGTTTTCGTTCGTTAATTATTCCTTATTGTCAGGAGGGCTCCAAACCTCTCGTAAAAGCGGAGAATTTCGAGTTTTCTTCGTGCATCTCAATAGCAACTGACGTATCATAAACCCGCGCGAGCCCAGGCACATTCTCGCGAGCGAGCGGTACCGTTACCCTGGGTTTGTCCCATAAGCCCAGGTGACGCGTACCTCACGCAAAACACCCCCTCCTTGAGGGTGAGTGGTTGGCGTTGGGCGGTGACCCAGGCCCAAACGTGAGTGGGAGTCTGACCCCCGTCAAGGGACCCAAACGCGACATTTTGGAAGGGCAGATGCGAGGGCTGAACGGGGCAACGCGCCAACGAGACAGGCAGAACAAATTAAAAGTGAGAAGCAAAAAGTTCAGGCGATCACACAGTCGCTACATTTTCGATCGATTCTCGACGACGTGTCAGAATTGAACACTTGTCTTGCACTTTAAATGTAAACTTTGTTATTTTTATTACACTTCAATGCACAGGGTGTTTCTTTCGTCTTGCAAAATTGGAGAGACTGAATCTATCGAAAAAATTTTTGAAGAAAAATTGTTTGGTATAAAGAGGAACCACTTTACGGTGCAAAGCATTTTTTTGCAAATTTCAATTTCATTTTTTTTTTCAACAGTACGGTGGCATTTATCGAGACAAATTCAACGACCCGTCGTACGAGTCGATTTATTGTTATAAAATGTTACAAATAATGTTACATAGGAAAACCAATTGATACGGTAGACAATTTGAAAATCGAACTTACGATTACTATTTCGATTAAAAAAAAATAATAATTCCAGATAATTATACCTTTGAACAACTCAAAGTTGAAGAAAGTTATTTTCACACAGCAATTAGTCATTTCCATGAACAAGAAGAAACGTCTGCAACACAATGGTAACACCGCCTAATTCAGTTCGTCTCGCGTGAACACGCGTATCGAGAAAAACGAGTCAAAAATTGCGG